TTATGTTATCATGTTACACAAAAAGAAATGACTTAGTAAAGGTCTCCCGTGGGAAGAGATGTGCAAGGAATAACCCCGACTGAAAGACCTGCTGTTAAATAATGAACAGGGACCAGGTGGAAACTTACTTTCACTGTAGTTATTTGGTACATTAAGTGGAATTTGCTTAAGACTGCTAAATCCTGCCCTTCTTCTATGTGATGGAAAATGTTGCTTAGTAACTTGGTTTTTTCATGACGCCACTTTAAATTAGCATTCCAGAGGATTTGGAAGTGTGGGTTGTACTTTTGTGACTTTCTTGAAATAACTAGGCTCTAACCAAAGTAGCATAAATAATCACCTATATAATAATAGAACAATGTTACAGTGAAGTCAAGACCAATCTCCTGAGAGAGAAACATTTGTGTTTAGTAGAAAGAATAATCATTTGTTAGCTTGAGGTGTGAGTATGTGATTTATGTAGATCTTTTGATTCTTGAAGCATTTGAGCTGTCTATTTAGAATTTGTGAATATTTGAAATTCAGGCCCATTCTCATTGACTTATGGGGGCCATCATTACAGCTAAGGATAGGAGTAGCTGATACTCTTTTAGGAAAGAAATATGCTACTTGCTCATCTTATTAAGTCCCAATAATCCTAATATATAAGGTCAGATGACTTTGAAGTTAAGATTTAACTGGGTTAGTCAGTTGATAATTTGTATACCATTGTTCACACTATTGATTTTTTATTTGTTTCTTTTCAGAATTGTGGTAATTTACATGTGGATCTATATGGGATCTGGGCTCATGATTCACACACACACACCAGCTTGTACTTGTTAAAGATTGTAGATCAACACATGCCTGGCTGTGATAATCAAAACACTTACAGTGTAATTTCTGGTCTCAGCTGGTTTACTCACTTAATGACTGTGGACTTTATCAGGGGCTGATTAGTTTTTTAAATGGTATTTGGAGCCTAACCAAGTGTACTTGTTTAGTAAAGGAAATACTTACAAAATGTATTTTGCTTGCTTTTACTGTCTTCCCTACTTGGATCCTTCCAGCCCCCTTAATTGTGATTTCCTCCTGGAACTGAGTCCCCGAGACTGAGAATATATATAGCTGAGAAGAATCCAGGGCTGGGAAATCTGAGGCAAGGTTGAGAGTATAAGAGAGAAGATACAATCAGAGAATGGCAAGGCCTTGGGATGCTGCTGTGAGCAGTATGGAATCATGAACCCACAGGACTGGAAGGGCAGAGTTGATACATAAATGAAACCAGGCAGCAAGCAAAAGTCAGGGACACAGGAATATTCGAGTTTGGTGGGCAAAAAAGGGAAAAATAAGGAAAATTCCAGATCACATCAGGAATCAGTCTGCAGAAATTGAAAGAGCTATGACACCATCTGGGCAACAAATTTGGAACATGAGAGCTGAAGTTCTTGGGCATTTCAGTGAAAGTTGTGCTCTAGCCAAGAAGCTTGTTGAGGCATTCCCTGTTAGGACAGGAATGGGGCCTAGAGTGTGGGCCCCCATAGCCCACATGTGGGAAGCTGGTCATGGGTGTGTCTGCCTGGAAGGGGAAGGGAGGTGGCCTGGGAAGGTCCTGACACCTAAGGAGAGAGGTTAAGGACATGTGGCAACACAGGCATAGTCAGCGCTTTGCTGGGCATTGTACTCCATGACTCACAGGCCTTGGTTGTAACACACCTATCTTCTAGGCAGTAAAACCACCCCTCGGCTGGGAATGAATAAAGGGCTCTTAATGGTTCTGGTCCATTCCAGATGATCAACAAACCTTATATTTCCATACGTTTTTATAGCTCTGTTCTCATGTTCCTCTGCCCATTAACCCAGAAGGCAGTGTAGAAGAGCTACACTATAAAGATGCTTTCACTTAAAAGCTGCTCAATAGTTTGCATTCTATATAAAAATCTCAGTTCTCTTTTTTAGGTTTTTCATAGCAAAAAAAAAAATCTATTTGCAAAGAAATACATTGGAATAAATAATATAAATGAAGGTTAATTCATGAGAAAAATGTAGCTCATGTGTATAGTTTTGGTGTGTATTATATATATATATATACACATTTAGTTATATAAGATATAATAAATACTACATGCATGTATATAGTATAAATACATATGCATAATTTATATTGCTCAGGAATTTCTGAGGATGAGGAGATTTCCAATTATTAATTGTTTTTAACTCAGTGTTTTGGTCCTTTTAAAAAACATTAGTACAAAATTAGTTTGTCTACTTTTATTATTATTTGTATTATGAAGTTAGATCAGTTTATAAGAAAGAACTAATTAACCTGACAATCTCATTTATATCTTTTCATATTCACTTCTAATCATACATCTCTTTGTCAAATATTTAGTTTTTAAATTATTTCATGCATACATTTGCAGGTAATTATATGATTAACTTAGTGCTTATTTTTAATAACTTTATTGTATGGCAAACTAACATTTTTATTATAATTATCTTATTTTTGACCATTTGGGTCAATAATATTTTTATTTTTCATTATTAAAAATATCAGCGTGAACATTTTTTAACAAATTATTTTTGGGTTGTTTCCTTTAGGCCTTCTGCCCTAGTGAGATTAACAAGCCAAAGGGTAGGAACAATTTTGTAGCTTCCATACATATTGCCAGGTTGTTTTCCAGAAAGACTGAACTAATTTACTGTGCCACTATGGATGTAAAATGAACAGTCTCAACTTTATGCAGTTTATATAGTCTGAGCACACATGAGGAGCATAATTACATTTCCACCCAAAGGCCTAGCTGTATATATAGCTCTCATAAGTAAACTTAGTGTGTGGACTTTGAAATTATAGAACTGATAAAGCGTGTAGCTAATTTGTTCTTCAGAATGTGGAGCCTTGAAGTTAGGACTTTGGGGCTAGAGAACATGCTGTGTTGAGGTGGAGCCCCCTTTTGGACAAGTGTGGTACTGTGATCTCTGTGAGATGTCACCAAGGCCAGAGCAAAGGGAAAGGACAGTCAAGTCCCAGCATTTCTGCCAGTGAGGTTATCAGGCCTTTGAGGAATTCTGGCCGGCTTCTTGGATTTTAGGAAGGATGGGGCACTCTGAAGTCAGTGTGCAGTGAAGGAAAGGGGATGTCCAGTGGGTGCACTGGGGCCACCAGTCATCAAGCTATGTACCTTCTGGGTAGCTGCTAACTGAAAGCCTTTCTCATTGAAAATTTCAGCTCAAAGGTGTTGGGTGATTTTTTTCCTTTGACAGCATTATTAATTTTGTAATGGAAGTGAATAGAGATGATAGGTTCTGTAGAATTCTGTTCATTCTATAAGGTTTGAACTTGTCTATAAATGTTCCTTTGCCCTGTTTCGAACAGGGGAGAAACTTAGAACTTTCCCTGAGAAACAAACTTCTGATTGCTCTCATGCATGCCGACATAGCATTGTGCCTTTGCCAGCTTCCCCAGTGACTTGCAAAAATTCTGTAACCTAAATACAGAACATGTAACCACACGTTACAGAACTGGGCCAGGATGGTACTACAGAATCAAACGTATTTCACGTAGCATGCAGTTCAGAAAGGCAAAAAGGAATGAAAATAAAATCATTGGTGTTTGAGTGCTTAAAAATGATCATGTGGATACATTTAAAAAGAAGTGAATGAATATTATAGAAATTCCAGGTCATAAAGTAACATGGGAATTGAGATAAAAATTGTCTTAGTTTCCGGGTCCCGAAGCAGAAGTCAGTATAGATGGGCAAAGAGAGGCAGGAAGCATTCACAGACCAGCAGTGGTAAGGGAGAGAAACACCAGGGCTGACACATGACCTGACTAGGGATTTATTCATTTTTTACTGTCAATTGACTTTTTCTTTTTGGTGGTAAAATATATATAGTGAAGTTTCCCATCATAACCATTTTAAAGTGTATAATTCAACAGCACTAACTACATTCACAATGTATTCAACCGTCACCACTATTTCCAATATTTTTTCATTACTTCAAACAGAAATTCTGTACGTTAGGGATATATTTTGTAATTGGTTTTCTCAGAACTTTCTCTGGCTTAAAGAAATGCAGACATATGCCATATGTTAGGGTTGATTGTGCTGGGTGTGTGTCTTTTGTTCACCAGTTTCCTAATGTTGCTTGCTTGGCTGAAAAGGGTGCCCATCCAAAGTAGAGGAGGGAAGGATGATGTTCTGTCAGGGGCATATGAGGAGCTGTGTTCCTCTGCTAAAGTCTCCAAATCAATGCTATTTACAGGAGAACACAGGCAGACTTACTTATTTAATGTGTTTTAAAATGAAAAAGCAAGCCCAACTGGTGTGGCTCAGTGGTTGAGCATTGATCCATGAACCAAGAAGTCATGGGATCAATTCCTGGTCAGGGCACATGCCCAGGTTATGGGCTTGATCCCCAGTAGCGGGCATGCAGGAGGCAGCCGATGTTTCTATCGATCCTTTTCCTATCCTCTCTCTAAAATCAATAAAAAACCCTATTTATAAAAAAATAATTAAAAAGCAATATTCTTGACAGTTTAGAAAAAAATTTAAGAACTTGTCATCATTTGAACACAAAAACGGTTTCTATTTTTATTTTTTTCAGTCTTTTTTCACCTGTTTTTGACATACTTGATCATGATGAATCTAAATATCTAAAAAATAGTGATATTTTTTCATCTAAAATATCACTTGCAAGTTTTCATTTTGCTCAAGTCTTAATAATAATAGGCCCAGAAGTGCATGTAGCTTAATTTACATAACCATACTACTTTCTTTGATAGGTTGCCAAAAATTATAACTGTTAAAAATGAGCATCTTCAAACATTTTCTTTCTATAGTTTAACCCCTTCATTTTATTCTTATGAGTGAGAGAGAGACAAACACAATGCTCACATATATCTTGTTGTGGGCCATGGCTCCTGTATCTTCTGTGAAGGTTTGGTACAATCAGTGGTGTGTTTTTGTCATTATGATAGACATCAGTTGGATGAAAAGTGTTTGGTCTGGTTACAGGTTGTGAAGATCCTAGAGAAGCACGACCCCTTGAAGAACACCCAGGCGAAATATGGATCCATCCCTCCAGATGAGGCCAGTGCAGTGCAGAATTATGTAGAACACATGCTCTTCTTGCTGATTGAAGAACAAGCCAAGGATGCTGCAATGGGGCCAATCCTGGAATTCGTGGTCTCTGAGAACATTATGGAGAAACTCTTCCTTTGGAGCTTGAGGCGGGAATTTACTGATGACACTAAAATCGAGCAGCTAAAAATGTACGAGATGCTGGTCACTCAGTCGCATCAGCCCCTGCTGCACCACAAGCCCATTCTGAAGCCCTTGATGATGCTGCTGAGCTCTTGCTCAGGGACAACCACCCCTGCCGTGGAGGGGAAACTGGTTGTCCTGCTCAATCAGCTCTGTTCCATCCTTGCCAAAGATCCATCCATCCTGGAACTATTTTTCCACACAAGCGAGGACCAAGGGGCGGCCAACTTCCTCATCTTCTCCCTTCTGATTCCCTTCATTCATCGAGAGGGGGCCGTGGGTCAGCAGGCCCGGGATGCTTTGCTTTTCATCATGTCCCTGTCCGCGGAGAACACCGTGGTGGCCCAGCACATCGTGGAGAACACCTACTTCTGTCCAGTAAGTCCCCCTCTTTGCCATGCTTTTCACCCACTCCTCTTTTCCTCTCTTGTGCTAATGAGAAATACTTTATTATTCCTTTTAAGCAAGTTGTACTTGGCATCTTCTATGGAAAGATATTTATAGGAAATGTTTTGGAGGGACCAGGGCAGCCCTAAATTGACATGCTATTTGGCTGAGCAGTGTCAGCTCAAAATAAGCCAACAGAAAACTACACGTGTTACCACATCTTGGTTCATTTCTGTTGGGTTAGGAACTATTTTAATTTTTCATAAGAACATGTCCTGAACAATTGGTAAGACCTGCACTTTCTATATTTGTAGCTTCTGAGGTTTATTGTGCACCAACGGATCACGGCATGTGGTGAGGCCCATCACTGCTGGCTTCACAAATTAATTTGTTTCTCAGCAAGATAAAGACCATAATTGTAGATACAATTTAAAAAATACATCTTTACAGTTGGAGGTAGCAAGAAATACTCTATTCTGTATAGTTTCTTAATCATTAGTATGGTGAGAATTAAATTGTAAGGTCCTTTGCAAATGTTTGAGTAGCCCAGGTCCAATCCCAGTTCCAGAAAATAATGGGAACTGTCTGGGACTCTTAAGATGCCTTAGGGCTCTGGTTATTATTTTGGTGTTAGTGTTGTCTTTTTTTTTTTTTTTTAGTGTTGTCTTTGGAAGGGGGATTTAGAGGACAGATTTATATCTTCTTCTGGTTTGTCAGTTGTGTTGGGCAACAGCTATTTTTATTTTCCCAACTCAGTGAACATTTCCAGTTTATTTCCATTGTCTGTTTCTTTTTACCAGCTGCATTGTTATATTTCTTTGTACACTATAGTGCCTTGAATATGCCTGATTCTGCTGGCAGAGTGTATAAGACCATAAGTAAATTTTTTTGGAAACAGGCCAGGCAAGTTGACATAAGTAGGTTAGATTCATTGTTAATTAACACTATATGGTAGTTTTTGACCAGAGGTGAGGGCACTTAAAGGGCATTTAGAAATATAAATGTTTGGTTGTGATAGGGACATGCGGTGGCTGGGAAGGAAGGTCAGCTGCCATTTAGTGTGAGGGGGCCAGGGGTGCTTAATGTCCAGTAGTCTGTGGAATGGTCTTGCCCAGTAAGGAATTGACCAGCTCAAAATGCTAATAGCAACCCTCATGACTAATATGTATTTTGCTTTGAGGTTCAAAAGCAGTAATCTTTATACTACTAAATTCCTACTTCTACTAATAAACCAGGGTCACCTCATATCTGGTGAATATGTATTTCAGGGCAAACAAGTAAAATTTTTTGAAAAACAAATTGCAGTTAAGAAATTCAGGGTACCAAGTATCTCTTCCCTTCTGGGTTCTGACCAGTGGAATAAGAAATTGTACAAAGATTGATAGTCAAATGGGAAGTAAAGAACTGATTCCACTCATCTGTGCCAACATATTAAATTTCCCTTCCTTTGAGCTCTCTGAAAAACGATGTTTATCTTTTAATAAGTGTTTACCTCCACAACATTGCTCATATCCAGCTCCTTTTCTTAAAAAGACATATTTTTCTTGATTTCAGAGAGAGGAAGGGAGAGGGAGAGAGAGAGAAACGTCAATGATGAGAGTCATCAACCAGCTGCCTCCTGCCTGCCTCCGACTGGCGATCGAGCCCACAACTGGGGCATTTGCCCTGACTGGGAGTCTCCTGGATCCTAGGTCAATGCTCAGTTGCTGAGCCGCGTATATCCAGCTCCTTTTTATTCTCATTCCTACCACACCCGTTTCTAGACCCTAATGTGTCTCCTTGCTTCCTTAGCATCTACCAAACTCACCTTCTTACATTGTCAGATTAAACTCCTAAGAGAACTCTGATTTTCCTGTTTCATTGCTTAAATTTCTTCAAGAGCACTCCAAACAGGTAGAGCAATTGTGGTAGGCAGAATAATGCCCCGCCCCCTCACAGCTGCCTACGTCCTACTCGAACCTGCGAACATGACTGGTAAGAGACAGAGTTAGGATTTGAACCTGGGAAGTCTGATTCAAGGACCCGTGTACTTAACCACTACCTTGTGCCTAAGTAATAAAATACAAAGACTGACTATAAAACACCAACCATAACAAAAAGATTGGAATTAACAAAAAACACAAATTGGGAGATGTTTGCAACACACAAAACTGTAAGTGATTGGTACCCAGAATATACAAAATATTTGTAATGCTACAAATTAATAAGAAAATGATGAAACAATGCATTAGAAAAATAGGCAAAGAGTTTAATGGACAATTCCCAGAAGACACCCAAAGCCCATAAACATATGAAATTATGTGCATCTTCCCTCACTTTAGAAATGCAGTTTAACCCACAAAGAGATACCAGATAATGCTCATCTGAGTGGCTAACTGTTGGACATCTGGTAACACTAAGTGCTGTCAAGGGTGTGGAAAACAGGAACTCTTGAAAATGTAAATTGGTGCAATAAATCAGGAGAGCAATATGGCAATATTTAATAAAATTGAATATTTGTGTGCCATGTAACCCTGCATCTTCTAGGTATTCCCCCTAGGGAAGTCTGGCACATGTTTGCAAGGATACACACATAAAGATATTCAGTAGAATACTGATTTGAGGAAGAGAAAAATAGAAATATATTAAGGGAAAGATAAATAAACTGGTTTGTTCTAAATCAGTGGAATACTACTCAGCATTCAAAATGAACGAATCACATGTATTAGCATATAACTATATCTATATGTGTGAATAACTGTAAGTCTGAAAACATAAGTAAAAACAAAAAGTTACATATAGTTTGTTAGTATTTACATAAAATTTACATGAAGTTTTAAGACACAGAGTCTTAGTGTATGCTGTTTTTTTGAATACATATGAATACAGTACAAAAACCAGTACAGGAATAATATGTACTCACTTCAAGACTGTGGTTACTTTTGGGGGTGAAGGAAGAAGAAGGGATAGTAATGGGATTTAGCTCTATTTGTTATGTTTTATTTTTTTTATAAAAGTATAGAGTGCCTTGAAGAAAAATGATGGGCAAATACTAACACTTGTTAAATCTTGGGATGGTTCCTATTCTGTTTTATGTGTTTGTAATATTTCATACTTAAACATTTAAATTTGTTAGGACTAGAATGGAGCATATTTTAAATTGCTTAGATTTTCAGTTATATTTTAAGCAGATTTTACTGAGTAATTGTTGCTTTTATAAAAACGTGTTTTCAAACACTGTACAGTTTATTAAAATTGGAGGAAAAACTCTGTCTGCAGCTGACCTTATTTTCTAGAATGGATCACAGAGCTTCATTGTGTTAAGCTGTCCCCTCGGGATGGATCCCATAATCTCATTTGTACCCAGTTTTCTATAATTAAATCTGACAACATAATTTTTTTAAAAAGGGGGTCCTCTTTATGTTGAATATAAAAGTGTATTCTGTTAACCATCCAGCTAAGGACCACAACTGACAAAAAGCTTTCTCTAATTAGTATGATTGTCAAAGTGTGTTAGCATCAGGCGTTGGGAAGAGGAATGGCTCTTTCAGGAAACTAGACCACTTTTGGAAACTCCTGTGGTCACAGTTGATAGGAGGAGCTTGCTGGTTCCGTTGCCTCTTATCTCGAGATGCACTTTTCCAAGAAAAGGACCGTCAGGATACTCTAGGGAATAATTCAGTGCAACAAATGTTTGAGGAATCTAGGACCCTGTCTTCTTTGGAATTTTTAAAAACAAATATTGATGATTAAGCCCTTGTCACTTGTTATGTATTGGCAAAGTAGAAAGCAGCCTATACATTAATTCAGAAATGCAAATTGAAATAAGCAACCTTTAGATACACAGCCGCAGGTAGAACATTATTTATCCCATATCTAAAATTTATGAGGCTTTTTATGTTGGCAAGGTGTATCAAATGGTCCCCACCAGGTGTTCTGCTGCTAGCTTCAGACTAAAGCCATCTGCTAAAAATCTTTTTGTTCTTGCTAAAATTAACTGGGTACTGTTAGATGTTTCTGGTTAAAGATGGCCCTTCCCCGACTTGTTTTGTGCTCACTTTTCTTGCCTCCAGTGGAGACATTGTTGTGCGTCAACCATGATGGTCATCTTTTCACATGCATTGTTTTCTTTAATCCCCTCAGCAACTCTGTAAAGAAACTGAACCCTAGAGGACTTAATCACTGCCTGTAAATGGCAGAGTCAGGCCCAGCAGCTGCCTTAGTTCCACACTAAAATCCATGGTCTCAACAACTATCGTGCTTATACCGCTTTCAGGGAGGTGTTGCTTTTTAAATGATCTGTTATTCTCCTTATAGTTTTATGTGGTGGTTATTTTCTTTTAAGGAGACTCTTGAGAGAAAATAAATTAAAAATATTGGGTTAATACTTAACGTGTTAGGAATAAATACGTTTTATAATTACTTTTGTGTGGCCAGGATCAATGAACGGCTAAAATAGTGGATGGGCATTTTATTTTTAATTAGCTATTGAATGTCTATGTATTTTTAAATTAAATTAAAAATGAAACTTAAAAGTAAATAGATTGTGCCAGTAAGCTCTTGGAAAAATTATCTACAAACTCGTTGTTGCCTCTCCTTTTCCCTTGGCCTGTCCCCACTGCACCCTCAGTATCCCTTTGAGTAGCAGTCGTCATTCTTGCGTTTATTAGTTTATCATCTGTCTTCTCTTTTTTTTTTTTTTTTT